ACAACCAACAGTACCTAACTTCCATACCCAATGAACACAATTCCCACAGACTCCCATAAACTCTTACTGGAAGTCATTGAGACTCAAGGCTGTGAGTACCAATTTAGAAAATGGAGGATGGCTGCTCCCAGGTGTTCAAGTTATGCCCCCAGGAACACGTGTTTTACACATGTGCAAATGCACCCATCATCCTTATTAACAGAAGAGGGACATGTATATACACATAGTATAAAAAGAAATACATTGTAGGTGCTGTGGTCTGTCTTGCACACAAAACATCAGGCCCCACAACACATCCTTCATCTGTGTAGTGGTTACTCACAGTTGTGGTCCAAAGGCACCCACAGCCGGGGTAGCTCAATTTGGAGATGAGCTCTGATGGATTTCATCTGTTAATCCCTGCAGGATTCAGTGGCCTTGCAGTGCAGCCTTGCCGAACATCACACGCTACACGCAAGACTTGTGCAATCACCGTTGTGCATTTGCCCGTGTGCTGGGCATGGTATCCCCAGCACTGTCCGCAAGCTGTGACGCTGCTGCTTGATGACCTCAGCACTGGAACAGGGCTTGGGCTCAAAGGCACCCAGGAGAAGAACTGCCACTGCTGCAGCCCCTGCTAGGGTGGGTGACCCAGCCTGAAGCAAAGGGTGATGCCAAGAAGAAAAGCAAAAGCAAAACCAATCATAGTGCAAAGCAAAAAGCCTGAGCATTCTTGTTTTGAGTGGCAGGGGTGGGGATGAGTGCACCCGCGGGCTGCTGCGGGGCCGCACTCTGCATCCTGCTCCTCTGCTCAAAGTAGCCACGGGCCAGGTCAGTCAGCACCAGCCCACCAGAGCTCGCTGCCCACACGTGCGTACAGGTGCACCCTCAGCCCCGGCCTTCATGGGGGACATTTCGTCTCTTTGCAGCCCTTGGTTTATCCCTCAGCTGCTCCTTTGCCTTCCAGAGTCACATCAGTCCCAAGAGGATTTTTTTCCCCCACAGAATTTCTACTCCAACATGGACCTGACTGAGGCAAGGGGATGTGCAGAAGGCGGCTGGGTGAAAAAAAAGTGCTGATGTGGTGTATCAAGTAATGACCCACTTCAGGAGAGGAAGAGCTTTAACTTCTAGTTCTTGCAGGACTTTCCAGAACCCCATGTTCAGAGGTTCATGGTAACTTGGCAAACACATCGGAAACTGAGATCTCTTGGCCTCTGAAGCCATTCAATTCTCTAGCCATTTTGCTTTCCAGCCTCTGCATCTACAGCTATTGACAGATCATGTCCAGCCTGTTTTTTCTCATTTGCAAGCTACCAGAGCCAGCTGAGTCACCCTGGCCTCCTTCATACCACATCACCAGGACCGATGGCAGCAGGGACAACCAGGAAGAGTTAAGCCCATAGGGCTTTTCCTTTTCAGATCAAACCACTTCATACAAAATATTTCAGCGAAGAGCAAAAGAAAGTTGAAGCAGACTTTGGAGCATATGAAAATTGGCAGCAACTTTTTATTAGCCTGAGAGTAAAGCAACTATATTGTATCAGCATTTTTTTTTTTAAGGAACTTCTTTTTTTACAGCCATTTCTGTTTATAGAGTAAATTTTCTTCCCGAGTTTTGTTAAAAATGTAAGGATTGTTCTAAAGCATGCTGCTGGGCTGCGTTTGATTAGGATTCCTTCCTGCTACAACATAGGAAAGATCCCTCTGTTCAACAATGTGTCATTGATGGGCTTTCAGTGAAATCCCAGCAATCCCAGGAAGCGTGTGTTTTGGTTTAAAATGCTGAGGAAAAGAGAATCACTATTGCTTCTACTTTTTCCTTACCCGCATTTTTACAGGCTCCTTGGATTGTCAGTGCTCAGGAGAGAAGCAGGGGCATTGCACAATCACCACAAAAGAGCCTAGCGCAGTGTGGGGTGAACTTACGTGGCCTACAAATAGCCCTTGCAATGGTTTGAGGGTTCCCAGTTCTGCTATAAAGCTACACCCTAGATGACCCATCGCCTTTTTGCTAGGCACAAAGACACACTTCGGTTCAAGTTCAGAAAATAAACACCAGCAAGCGACAGCAGGTTTAACCACTAGAAATAAATAGTTCAAATACCAGGGAGTGGAGTGTTGTCTCACTCTTTGTAGCAGTGGTGTTCACTCCTTTTTAATGATTTGCATGTGTTTAACCACTGTCCATTCAAGGTGTAGGCACGCTTTTAACAGACCCCTTTCAAAGCAGTCCACAGACACGCTCACAACTCAAGCTCAGGATCTGTTGCGTGGTGAAAAGGAAACATGAAATGGAATAGGAAAGAAGGAAAGGAAAATTTGCAGGAAAAAGAACAAAAAGGCCTCAATCGTCTGCCAGCTATCACATCTCATGTCACTCCCACACGCCGCGATCTGTCACGAGTTCAAGCATTGGAAGAAATTTTGGGTTTCTTCCAGGGCAGCAGGCAGGGCGAGGATCACAAGAGCATCCCACAGCCAGTGAAGATCACTGCCAAGGTCTATCCTGCGCTGAGAAAACAGCTGGGGAAAAATATCCCTCGGGGGTAGGAACTGCCAGCGTGGCAGTCTCTTATCCTTTAGAAGCGTAACACCACCGACGTGTGTGCTGGAACCCATACAGGAGCTGCAGCCAACCCACTGAAAGCAGTTATCAGTGTCCTCCTCTAAAGATTTTCCTCCTCTATGAGTAAACGGTTTTGTTTATGCATGTGGACTCGTAACACCCAACATCAAAGTAGCTAAAGAGAAGGTAGGAGTTGAGCAGAAACCCCTGTAGAGAGCAGGAGTGTCTGCCACAGGGAACAGGCAACCTGCCCTGTCAGTCCCTGCTGGAAAGCTCCACAAGCTCAGAGACTCCAGCATCCCTGCAACTCTTCCATGCTCCGATAACAGCGCCAGCAGCAATTCTTGGGATCAGCCTTCATTATCTCTGATGACCTGGCTAAAATAATGGTTTCATGACAGAAAAAACAATCCCAAACCCCCAAAAACCCCAAAGACCTGCCTTTGGCTCATGCCACAACTTCAGAAACCTCGTGACATGTGGAAGTGATCCGATAGAGACTCCTGGTACAGATTCAAACTCGTTCAAAAATTTTGCAGTTTGCTACATGTATCAGCAGGCTTCATGCTGAGTAAAAAATTGTTTCTTCACCAACAGCCAGCAAAAAGGCTAGCTGGAGCTTTTTCCTACTGGCCTGGTTTTGGTAAGATCATACTACTGAATCTGTGCACAACCAATCTCCTCATTGGAACAGTCACAAAGCTACACCTTGGGGCTGGAGTTTCCTTAATTGCTTCCCCAACTGCTTTCCCTAGAGCCCCCTCCTAAATGAGATGAATACGAAGTTTTAATAGCCACCATACAGCAGGTATCTCAGTCTCCAAGCCACCATTCCCAGCCATACTATCAAGCACTTCAGATGGCAATTTCTCATCCTTTCTTGAGGACCAAGAAAAATGTGCATCACCAGTGTTGTACTGATGTATTTACTGCTCCAGATACGGTCAAATGGTTTCATCTCACACATGCAACTGTCCTTCATAAGACTGAAATTACAGGGTTTCATAATCCTAGCTTCTGTTCAACGTGGGATACAGGCAAAATACCAGGAAGTTTGCCTGCCTGCTGTTGAGCTCCATTACTGACATTCAACGTCTTCCACTGGAGAAGGGGAGCATACAAATTGTCAGCAAAACCAAGCAGCTGGGCCTCACGTCTGCATTTGAGCCCTAAGTTTAAGCCTTTTACCACATTCCCAACCTAAACATTTTCTCCATTTATATGACATCACGTATGTACACATACACAATGATGCACCGCAGAAATAATTACTTCTAATACAGGGTAGCTAAGGACAGACACCACCTTCCTAGAGCAGAAAGGACAACACATGTACGAGAACGTGATCCTCACCAGTCAAAGTAACAAGTTGAGAAACTGCCCAAGCCAGCTCCTAGGAAATGGCAAGGACTCCACATACCACAAGAGCCTTCAGGCACGTTGGGTGCTCAAACAGTAACCCCTCGCTAGGGCTGGGTCTCCAAGCTAGGCTAGCTCTTTGCCATGTGGTTCAGGCACTCTCTTGAAAGACAGAGAGCCACATCAGCTCAAAAGTCTTTGCTCCAGATTATGTAAAGTCAGGTCCATTTATCTCAGCAGATGCTCTAATAAAAAGGTTATTGTACCTGAGGAGGGGGTGAAACTCCTTGTCAAGCCCAAACATACCTGTCTACCACCTCCTCCTTTGTCCAAGACCAGCATAATCCAGGAGCACTCAATTGATTTGGTGATACCCAAACAAGATGTTTTAGATCCCTGGTATGCGGATATTGGACAGAGGGGGCTGAATGGCTACACGAGAGCATAATCTTTGTGGACGTGACACTGCCTTCTTATGTCACGTAACTGTACGTGTACCTGCAGTAGAAACTGCTTCACATTTCATTCACGCCAAGGCAGCTCCTGCCAGAAGTGAGGTTTTTAACCAGAAACAGACAATACCACTCTTGACACTTCACAATTTTTGTCCCAAGAGACCTCTGCCAAGGCAGAAGGTTCTTTACTCAAAAGGAATCACCAAAAGAAATCAGACCCTGGAGGTGAAGGACTGGCTCTGTCCTAACACATGCAACGCTCTATCCTTAAGGAGGCACTTCCAGACAGAAGGAATATGAAAATGCATGTGACATCCTACAGCACGAGAAAGACTCATGGCCTCTGGGATACACAAGGACAAGACTGCAATTTTGAGCAGACATTAGCAGCAAGTTCCACTTCACTGCTGAATACGTGATACTCTCAAAACAAGCTACATCTTGACAACGTCTTACACGAGTGTAACTAAAATTTGAGTGCAAAATTTGTAAGTGTCCAGATACTCCAAAGAGGACAGCTAGATAAAGAAACCTAGAGAACTATCCATGGTTCATAGGCTAATTATGAATACTTATAATAGATTGTACAGATTTCTACACCTGGTTTTATGAAACATATTATATGAGCGTATCTTCTGTCCTGTGATGAAGCAACAAGCATAAGGCTCTTAGCGATAACTTTTGGAAAGATGTGTTTCTTGGCTAATTGCAACATGAAAGAGTTCTTGTTGAAAGAAGCAGAATGCACTCCAAGTTTTGCTCATAGGCCTCTCAAATCATTCGCACAGACACACGAGGATCACATTGCCATAGAAGGATCTTTCAATAACACAGAGTTGACCGACACATTTTACTTGTACTTTCCAGTATATAAAATCTATTTTTGAACTTCCTCCTATAGAAATATGCCACAAGAAAGAAGCAATGGATTGGAAGCTAGGCAGAATCCCTACCACGTAAACTGAAGGTAAAGGGGAAAAACAGAGGTGGTGAAGTCTCGGTTAAAACCTTTCATATACAGCAAGAATTTTGCTACATTCCTTTTCCCATAGCCAGGTACACTAAGTCAGTTACAGCAACTAACAGACCTTATAAAAAGTTAAAAACAAACTAAAGAAAGAAAGAAAAAAACAAATAAAAAAATCACATCAACTTTAATCGGTGCACATCCACCTAAGGAAGAAAGCCTGAACGCAGCAGGTAAAAACAAAATCAAGGAAAATACCATCTCCAGTATTCACGTATCATGCATTAGATTACTAAGACTGAACTGCTAACGCTTGTATGCTGCTAGAAGCTTAGGCATATTGTGAATGCTGCAACCAGGACATTGTCACATCAGGTGACCTGAAAACCTGCATCTGAACAGAAGTTTAAACCAGTCTTTTTCAATAATTCATTTTACATTTAAAACCAGTCTGCAGTTGGATCAGTTCCTTTCAGCAAGGCAAAAGTTACAAGCTGACAACAGGGTCATAGCGATGATTCTTCGGTCTTCATCTTTTTTGTTTGTCCATTCGAACCACGTCGCAGATCCTGCCTTTTCTTTTTCTGCTGCTGTGACCTTTCCTCTTTCCTCTGTAGGTAAGCATCCATGTTATCAAATGAAGCCTTGTAGAGACTGCTGTAGTAGCTCTCTCTGCCAACAAAACCTGTAATTGGCAAAGCAAGAACCCACCAAAAGCGTTAATTCCCTTAGTGGTCTCACCAGTTGCTTCCTGTACTGTAATTCTAGACAGTGGCATTTCAACTCATTTTACTGTGGTCCTATCCACTTCATTAAGTATCAGCATTTACACTGTGTAAGCCCGATTGTGTTGGGATAAGCATCTGTCCCACATTCACCCAGCCAAGCATAGCCTCCATTTTTAGGCTAAAAAATTCATAGAGGCGAACACCTGACATTGAAGCAAAGGGGGCACACAGCTCTCTCTACACATTGGACACTTGCAGACTTCAAGGCTTCTGTTTTTAAAATGACTGCTGCTGCAACTTATTGTCAGACATCCCTGGAGTTGTTCTCCAAGACCTAAGCACTGCAAAGGGTGTATGCTACCCAACTGTGCTCAGCTGACTTGCGTTCTAGAGTATTAACTTAAAAGAAGCCCAAAGAAGTAAACTTCAAACGGTGATGTCCTCCAGCGCGTACATCTTTCTAAATACTCACCCCAATAGTTGCATTAACACCGACTGTGAATTCAGCATAATATTCACCACACCATCTCCAAGACTGTAAGGTTTAACAGGGAACTATCTAATATCCAAAAAACCCCAAACAGATTGTTTCTGTAGAGAATACAAAACAAGACTAGCTGGCTAGGTCCACATTTCTAAAGACTGTTAGAGTGGTACCTGAGAAAGCCAGTTACCTCTAGTTCTCTTTGTATTCCTACCTCTTCCCATTTCCAAAAATTCTTGATCTTAAAGGTCAAGTACAAGGAAATCCAGCATTTGGTTTGGTCCTGAAGCTAGTGTGCTACTCCACAGTAATGTACATACAGCATCCCCTTGTTTCTTGGTAGACAAAGCAACTTTCTCTTGCTGGTACTCAGCAAAGCGCATGCATTTACTTTCAAGGGTCTTGCACGCGCATAGTAACCTATTTATTGGCCTTTGGCCCTGGCAGAAATCACGTGCTGTCAGTATGAATATCCATGCTACTCTCAGTCTGCACTGAATCTTGCTCTATCTTTTTCTGGGATCAGTTACAACAGAATGTCAAACCGTCCAACATGTACCTCAATATTGCCCTACGCATCTCAAATCCTACAGAATCAGCAATCAGGTGAAACAAGTTTGTAAAAGGACAATATGCAGGCATTAAGACTAGGCTTAAACAATGTAATGATCACTTTTTCTAAAAGAAGTAACTACCTTTTCAAGCACTAATTATGCACTGGAATAAGTGCTCATCAAGTGAGCCTCCCCTTACTAATTAACAATAATAGACCCTGTCATCTGAGCAGTCCTCCTTTCCCAGCTGCAGATGCAGCCGGCTACCGTGTATCGCAGTAATTTGCTACACTGGCTAATTATGCTCAGAACCTCTTCCCCCTGCCTGCTCTTTTTACTTCTCTGTTGCTCATTTTCACTCAGACCTCATACTTCTAATTATCTGCCTGGCTGTAACTATCAAGTCTGCAACATCTACATGCAAACACTCTCCCTTCCAAAGGAGCACCTGACTTCCTCTTACATTTCAAAGACTGTACCAACTTAATGACAACTTAATGACGAGCTTAATCACAGCTATACCCAAAGCCATCTAATACAAGATACTAAGGAGACTTTAAGATCAACTGCACATTCCTGCAACTTTTCCATCTTTACGTATGACCACCAAGAACAGGCCAAAAGACTAGTGGGGACTGTAACACTTTTTTTAAGAAAGGTTTGCAGTCTCCCAGCAAAGCACAGGAGAGAAGTTTCAAGTAATCAACTCTCAACACATAATGAGACATCCACTAGTCCATGCTGCAACTCTTCTCTACCTTGTAGCCACCACTGCCATAATTTCAGCTTCTAAATAAAGCTGGCTGGTTTTTAAATACAAAACCCACTGGAAACATAAGGTGCTTCTGAACTAGTAAATCATGCATTACTTTTCTGCCAGAGACTGGGGGTGGGGCAGAAATCAAGAACAAAATGAACCAGCCCCGATGCCAATCAATTTCATCTGTGACACCATCCAGGGTCACACCCTCCAGCCACAGCAAGCTCCACACAATCTGCCTTGCCAAAGTTGGACCTGAATGGCCCATCTTTACAGTGAAGCTGCTCCTCCTGTGGCTATTTCATTCTTCCACTGCACTTCTGATAAAGACGGCTATTCCATCTCCAATACATTTCTGATAAAGTGTTGCGCCCAGGCAAGAGACAAGATGACAAACAACAGCATTCGCTATCACAGCAGTAAGACAGACTCCAGCAGCTCTGTCATAAGGGTGTTTACATACATAAGGTGTTTAGGTAGAACAGTTATAATGCTACAATTCAGATCTAAATACTTACATCATTTTGTCGTAACAGTAACCTGAACACACTTCATGATCTACACTAACTTCCATACCAGATGGAGTGATGAAACAGAAAACTGAAAGACTAGGAGACTTCAACAGCCAACTGAACTGACCTCAACTCTAACCTTGCTCCTAAATCTTATGCTTTAGCTGTAAAAATTGCATTTCCTGGGCCTTTCGGCCAAATTTCTTACCTTCAAACACTGTCCAGTTGTCCTGAACATATTTTGACATCTTCTGTAATCCTTTGTCATCAGTTACAGCCTGGGAAAAGAAGAAACATTGCATGATATTTTGGGAATAATAAACAGTCTTATGTTTCACAATACACTGCAAAACACAAAGCTCTTAGATGAGTACAGTGAAAGGAGAGCAAGTGTAAGCCCTCCATGATGTTTTTTAGGCTCCTTTTTTCCAGGACTGCTATAGAAACCCTGCCTGAGATCATGTGTTCTGCTGGGGAAGCTTTGCAGCTTGAAGGAAAAGGAAATGGATTCCCACTTATTAATCTGTGAGAAAAAGAAATATTGTAACACATAAGGGTCAAAGAAAATACTTAGAAGTTTAATTTAAAACCACTTCACAACTATACCATAATTAGCTGGGACTTAAAAGGATAACAAGCAAGTTTCCAGTTGTTTAATAGGCTATCACAGAGAACTTGATAGCACATCCCTCAAATTTGACTCCCTGTTCCCAGTCCAAAAAAATCCCCTTAGTGCTCCCAGAATGCCTTGTTCCCCAAAGGGTCCCTCAGATGCAGGCACAGGGAAGGCTGTGTGGAGAGCACTCCTGAGCACACCACAAAGGGATTTTGTTGTTTTGTGGGTTTGGGTTTTTTTTTTTTATAATCAAGTGTAGCACGCAGAAAGCACAGTGTAGCACTCAGACAGAACTGAGTGCAACGGCTGACAACCACTCTGCTTGATCTTGCTATGCCAGATGTTAGCTTTATCAGAGAAGAGCCTGGTATTCATAACAAGCTCTCAGCAGCTTCACATTACACGCAGGTGAGAATGAGAATGAGATGTGTATCTGTGACTTCTACTCCGTCTCAAAGACATAAATAGAGAAGTGTGCCATTTAGCTTTCATGGAACATAGTTTACTCCATTTTTGTTACGGCCTCAAGACAACACAAACCATTCAGGATGTGAGCGTTAACAAAAGTATCTACCTTCCACTGTCCATCACATGGTCTGTACAATTGAAGAGGAGCTTCACTGTCTTCCTGCAAAATCCATAGATCTCCCGTTTCCTCAAATGCAATGTCCCAACCTTTATGTTTCAAAGAGATTTGCTGTCTGTAAACTAGCTGCTGGGCAATGGCATCAAGCTGAAAGACGTAGACTGTGGGAATACTTTTGAAAGGAAAAACTTAATTACCATTATTACCAAATCGATCTACAGGCATCGCTTGTACAGCAAACTACAAACACCCACTCTAATTCCAAACAGAGCCAAAGCAAAGTCATTAGAAATTGCAAAAAATGCTCTGGCACTTCAAGTGCAGTTTGCTTAAATGATCTGAGGCAGAAGCTCAGAAGCTGTAAATACCTAATATGCCAAATGGCTTTTCAAGTGTTACATGAAAGAAAAGGTACTAAAGGGAATTTCATAAGGATTACTGAGGATTTATATAAGGACTGGTGCATCACAGCACATTGGCCTGCACGGCTTCACTTGAAGGAATACGTAGCTGAGCAACAGTCAGAATAAAAGATGAAAGGAATTACCATGCCAGGAAGGGGAGGTGGGAATGAGAGGGACAGGAAACCTTGACACGGCTGAAGAACAGGACTCTGGCACCGCACTTATCCCCACCTCTCCCATCAGCTCACTCCTCTAACAGCCACAGCCTCTATGTGCAGAGCTTCCTAACTTCCCTTGGACAGGTCCCCAGTGTGCCAGGCAGGACACCTCAGCTCCCTCCTGCATGGCCTACCAGGTCCATATGACAGCACTGTTTAGAAACGCTGGGCTGCGGAGCTGGAAATAAAAGCCTGACGCAGAGCACGGCGCCTGGGCTAAGTGACATGGGCACATCCCTCGGCTGACATGTCTTCCCCTTCCAGGGCCAGCTTGGATGCCCATGCAAGAAGGCATGATGGGAAGCAGCTAAGGCTCCTCGCTCTGGTGAAGAGCAAGTCCACTGAGGGGCCCGAGTGCCGATTTCACGATACAGGCAGCTCTAGCGATCTCTCCCTTTCCTGTTGGCAAGCTTTTGTCAAGAATAACAGCTTCCTTGGCAGGCTTAGGGTGCTGTGGGAAGAGAGGGGAAGAGAGCTTGTCCATCCCGACGAGACATTTCCCCGACAGCACTCTCTCCTTACACAAATACATACATTTGAACCCAAAAGTCAATGTAGCCTCTCCAGAGTTTTAAATTGAAGCAACACTGTGGTTTTAAACAGAATGGCCAAAACCATTTACAGGAGCTGAATATAGTAACAGAAGTTTAACCACTCCATCGCCACAGCACCCTGAACCAAATGGGACCCAAAACACACAGGTCAGGCATGGCGATTTAGGGAGACATCATGAGCAGCGAGCAGGGCTCTTGTGCATCCTAGCCTTGCCTTTCCTCCCATGAGGGAAAGGCATCACAAAGCCTGCAAAATTTAACTACGCCAGGTAACCTTTGCGCTCACCTCTGCACTCTGACCGAGTACAATAAGGACTCAGAGCTGCTCTTGCCCTTGCAGGAACAGTGATGGTTTTAGCCATTATTTCATTTATTCTTACCAGTCACATAGAATGGCAACATAACCACCTTGACAGCAGTAGGTTATTCTTGACGGAGGGTACTTCTATTAGGAAAAGAAAAAGAAACATCCTTGTAAGTTAAGACCATTTTGGGGCAGAAAATTCACATTTAATTTCATGTCTTAGCCTTTAAAATTTAGCAGATGTCTTAATTTACAGCAAGTTAAGCAACATAATTACCTTTAAACTGCAGTCAAGTATATTTTTGTACCAGTGTTTGCTGTTTTATGAAGTTTTCCACACTTCTCCCTTCACAGCCATCCAAACAGAGATCAAATGTAAAGGTTTTAGTGAACTACTCTTAATAGACAAACTAACAGATGAAGGAAAAAGTACACCACCTGCAAACATTCTCTCCTGTAATGCTGATGGTTTTGCCATTAGCATTAAGCCTGCTCAGCCAGGGTATCACACTAGCACCTTAGAGATTATAAACACAAGCCATCAGCTGCTGTTACATTTGTTAAAAAAAGAAGATAGTAATGCATAGTTAATATCCTTGCTGCCTTGTCTCTGTTTTCAACCTGTGTCTGGGTGAAGCCATACCACTTAAGAGAAAATGTGTTCTAAAGAACAGGGCAAGACTGCCCAAGGCCATTTTCCTCATTAAAAACCAAACAAACGTCCCACACCCAACAACAACAACAAACCCCACAGCACACTCCTAATGTGGAAGATACATAGTTTTACCTGGGAGACAATTGGAGAAAAATACCTTTGCTGCACAAACCATACTGCTTGAAGTATCTAACAACTGATTTGAGGCTCCTTGAGTGGGAAGTAAGAAATTGGGAGGAGCAGAGAAACTGCAAGAAGGTGCCCTAAGGTGCTTTTTCCAAAGTATCTGTTATATAAAGTGAAAGACTAAACTGGAAAGGCAAAAGGCTGGTTCTCAACTATGTTTTGTAAGTAGTGATAACACCAGCACTTCTGATGAATAAAACCTTCCTACTAGAGAAGTAGCGAGTTATTCCCCTTAGGGCAGGGAAAATACATCTTCTGGACACTCTGCTGGCAGCATTCAGATGCATCCTCAAGCCCTCTTTCCTTTTACCTCCTTTGCAGCTTTCACCTCTTT